GACATCAGTTGCTTAGCCTTACGTCGCCCTTCCAAGGAATCTCAGGAAGGCGCCGCGTAACAGCTGGTCCGACACCTTTTTTATATATAAAAATGAGCTACTAGTTGTTGACATGTGATAAGCTTACTCCTTTGCGTACTATCTACTAATATTGGCTAATGAGAGAAGTCCTGGGTGATCATTGCTCCGATGCTTCGGGTGAAACCAATTCCCAAGGTGTGACAGGCGGCGTGTACAAGGCCCTGGTACATATTCACCGAGGCATGCTGATTGTAGCTATTCTAGGTTCGTGTTTTGTGATATTGAGGATTGCTTGGGTTATGCTTTTGAAAAATGTTGGCTTAAATGAACTGTTAAGAGAAAGTGTTAGCTTAAATGTGTTAGTATCTAGTGCTGCTATGTTACTTGGACTAAGCGTTTTGGCCAAATGCCTGGTGTTGACATGACACCTGGTGCGGGTGGAATTCATGTTGGATCTGGTCAAATAAGGTGAATAGTTTGACTTTCATTTGGCAGATGAAGAGACTGGAGAGAGTCAAAAGATAAAGAACCTAGTGATGGATTTTCCCCTTCTCTTTCCCCTCATTCTCTTTTTGTTGTTATTGGGGATGGTAGCTTTTTCTTCCTTTAAGAGGGGCTTTTCCACATAACTTTTGGCTCAAATATGTGATAGGCTTAATAAGTTATGCAAAAGTATGGTAGCAGCCCTAATGTGATGATGCTTCATAACATGACCTACCTTTGATATTCCATTGGTATCCACATATCCTAGACAGAACTTTTCGAGCCTGACACCTTGACATGAATCATATCTCACGCTCTTTCAAGAATCTGTGTACTGTAGGTCTTCTGTGTTTTAAATTTTTATTCCCAGGAGATGTGTTAACAATTTAACTTGTGGCAGCTGCTTGAAGACTCTTTAGAAGAACGGTTAGAAAAGACAGGAGGTATGGTTCCAGATTCGGAAAAGTTTGATGGAGATCCTAAGGAAGGAGAAGTGGAAGAAAACAAGGTATTGAGTTCCTGTCAGTTCATTTCCCACTTAAATTAATTGATAAGTATTTCCCACTTAAATTATTGTTTATCTTCTATTTCATTATTGGCGTAAATTTAATTTGGTGTACATCCTTCCACATTTTTTCTTCTTCTGAAAAGATGACATCCTTTGTCATTTACCGTTTGTATCTGCTTTCTTTTCAGAAGAAGTCAGTTGAAGGTGGAAAGCAAGGCGCATCTCTTAAAAAGCAAAAGAAGGACAAAGTTGGGGTTGCAACAGGAAAATCTTCTCGTACAGAGGGCAGCACAGTGACAACTGCACCACGTGTCAAACCGGAACTTGCTTTACCTGCTATGTATTCCTCAGATTGTCCTCTTATTTTACTTACCAAAAGAAAAAAAGAGGATGCCCTATTATTTTTTCTCTCACTACTACATTCCCCTTCCCTCACTTGGAAAAGACACTCTTTCGGAGGTCGTAATTTTATTTCAAATACTGTTATGATCTGTTAGGGAAACATGCCAGTAAGGATTCGTATAGTTGACTCCAACTTGTTATAACTGAGGCGTAGTTGTTGTTGTTGTTGATCCGTTAGGGAAACATTTATACTGCTAAGGAGTTGTATCAAAAAGGAATATTGCATAGGATGAGGAAAATAAGATTGACCAGCAATCCGCTGCAGCATGTCATGCTCATAGTATATTTCCGTATGTTCATTCACATTCTCTTCCAATATATAGTGGTCTTTAAGCATGAAAAATATGGATGCAAGGGAACAGATAAATAAAGTGTTTTCTTGTATGCTTGTACCAACCATACTATTTGTCATATCTTTGGAAAGGGGAGCATATTTCCTGAAATGAAATTATATTTTACGTATGTTATCATTCTCAAAAAAATGAAATTATATATTAGATGGTCTTTTGCTCTTGATTCTTTCTCTTTGTTTTCTTTTCCCAAAAATCCTACTTTAGTTAAAGCTTTCTCTGAGACTTTTCCTTGATTTGAAGTTGGTAAATCTTTGACAGAATTGATCTAAAACATATGCTGCTTCCTATTTCTAGGATCTTGGATCATTCTTATAACTGAGAAAATATTTGTCACAGTCCTGCAGAGGTAGAACATTCTATTCTGGAAGACTTGAGGAACCGTGTGCAGTTGAGTAATGCAGCATTGCCCTCTGTTAGCTTCTATACATTTGTTAATACACATAATGGGTAAGTTTCAGGATCTTGAATCTTGTGTAGAATTTCTTTCCAGTTGTCCTGTTCTTAGTTGAGTTTACCTGTAAATCTTTGTAGACTAAACTGTGCATCAATATCACACGACGGATCACTCGTGGCTGGTGGATTCTCAGACTCGTCTTTGAAGGTGTTTGTAGCTTCTGAATAGCGTTGATATTTTGTTATCACAAAGTAATGTGTCTGTTGATCCTTGACCACCTTCTTATCTAAGTCCACATTTTACAGGTTTGGGACATGGCAAAGCTTGGGCAACAAACTGGTCCATGTAAGTCCAACATGATAGTCCTTCCCAATGCTATTGCTATTTTCATGTTTCAAGATGTATATTAGTCAATAGAGGTGGTATGGGTGCCTTGTAATACCTCGGTAAGTCAGAGTACAACTGGCAAACCAGACAGCAATTTTTCTTGTCCTTTTTTTGATTTCTTTGATAAGTAGATAAAATATTATTTCACTGTAAAACTGCAGTAGGGTTGTGAAGTTAGTTACATCACAAAGACTCTTGGTGGGAGGGATAGGGGACACTAAAGCTTAACTACCTCTAAGCTACTGGATTTGATAGCTCTTATTCACCTTGCAGAAGGGATATAGACAGATATCTCATAGTTCCCTACAAAATCCTGTGAAATCAGCTGATACACTATTCTTTATGTCACATCAGCAGTCGAGATTAATTCTTAAACTGATATCCACTAGATAAGAAATTACGCTCTCCAGCCCGTAGGGCTTTGGTCTAAGTGGTAAGAGTGTTGCGCGCCATGTGTCTATTAGGCGCACGTCACTAGTTCGAACCTTAGCAGACAAAAGCCTGGTATTTAAGTCGAGAGGGGGAGAGGGATGGACCCATTATCTACCGAGTTTCGAACAGGTTCTCAGCTAGCCCTCAAGGATTTCTCAGTCAGCAGAAAAGGAAAAAGAAAAGAAACTACTATCTTCATGCTAATTGTTTTTTGAGGGCGAATCTAAGCCACTTTAAAGGCTGCTAACTTTGAATAATTCATCTATCAAAACTAGAATCTACATATTCAGAGACTATATGAAAGGCTACTGTTTTTGATTGAGGGAGTAGTCGTCGTTGTTCTTGCCATCAAAACCATATGAAAGATTACAAGTTGCTATTCTTTCATTTCAAAGCTATGAAAATATATAAAAGTCTCAATCAAGGATCGATTTGTTTGACTCTCTAGTAGCAAAATAGGACTACTTTCGGGCCAAGGCAGTATTGTTCTAGGTGCCTTTGCGGCCCAGCTTTTTCAAGAACAATTAAAAAGACTTGGTCACGAACTACCCATTGACCTTTGTTCTCCACTTTGTCCCCTGCTTCCATGCGTAATGTCTAGCAACCTTCTGGAATGGGATTAATGTTAGATATCTCATGCTCAACCCCCAAATATTAATTGAACAACCTTCTGGTCTAATAGATGTCCCACTCTTTCTTGCTGGTTCTATAACCAAAGACGGTCTTACTTCTTCCTTAGACAAGCACGCATACCTGTTTGCAGCTCTTACCTGCTTTGCCATGAGCATTATCATGTATAGTCATGGTAATGTAGGGTGGAACTCATTTTACACGTGCAAGTGCATGTATTAACTTGTGACACCCAAGTCTTGACCATGCTAACGCCATTACTTGGTGATGATTAAGATTTCTTTTTGAGCTGAAAATGTACTCATGCATAATTGTTGATTACGTAAAAGTAGTATTTAGATGCCAGGAAGGGATTCTTTTGTGGAGCTCATTTTACACGTGCAAGTGCATGTATTAACTTGTGACACCCAAGTCTTGACCATGCTAACGCCATTACTTGGTGATGATTAAGATTTCTTTTTGAGCTGAAAATGTACTCATGCATAATTGTTGATTACGTAAAAGTAGTATTTAGATGCCAGGAAGGGATTCTTTTGTGGAGCTCANCCCTGTTTATTCTGCGTCCTTTAGTCCGTACGGGGATTTTCTTCTATCTTCTTCATCAGATTCAACAAGTATGATATCATATAACTCTTCTTGCTATTAGCTCTATGTCGTTTTTTATTCATTTAGATTCTGATAGTTACTGCAGTTTTGGTGTGCACACTCTAACCATGAGCTCGTATGACACCCTTTTGCTAAATATTTCTATGCAGTTCGCTTATGGAGTACAAGGTTAAATGCTAATCTTGTTTGCTACAAAGGCCACAATTACCCAGTATGGGATGTTCAGGTTGGTGGCTAGTTTGTTATTTGTTAAGTTTTGTATGATGATTCCTTTTTTGACTGTAAATGTGGTAGTAATATATTTGCAATCACTTTGAGTAACTCACCTAAAAGACTATATTCTTCTGGGCATGTCTTATTCCACTTTGTTTTATTGGTCGTCAAATGAAATACAGCCCAAGTTTAATGGATTTTCTATGCATTATTGAAGCCATGTTCTAATGTCAAAAATTATAAGTTTTCCCTTGGAGATAAATGACAGGAACCCATGTTCTAGTGTCAAAAAGAAGTTTCATAGTGTTATAGCTACCGCTTATTGCAGCTTGAGCTAGCTAGATTACCATATTTCTATTGTTAACATGTTTTAGTTGTCTCCTCTCTTGAGCAGTTGGTGCTTGCTCATGGTGAGTTATAGTTTTCACTTCACGTTTTGTGTGCAGTTTAGTCCAGTTGGTCATTATTTTGCCAGTTGTTCACATGACCGCACTGCAAGAATCTGGTCTATGGACAGAATACAGCCTCTGAGAATAATGGCCGGACACTTATCAGATGTGGATGTGAGTACCTATTTTGTGCCCCATTCACTGGTGACTATTTTCTGATCTGATCTATGTAGGCATCCATATCACTCTATGTGGCTGGTATTATACATCTTAATTTACTTGACCCACTTTCATATTTGTCCCCCATAGTTACTTGGCTACTTCTATAAAATGGCAAGCTTTACATGTTCAAATAACCAAATTAGTACTCCCTCACATCCCGATTTATATGATATCTGTCTGTTTTGGGATGCCCCAAAATGTTCGACATCATACCAATGCTAATATTGCTCTATATAGCTTTTACAAATTACAAGAATCCAAGTTTGTTTAACTATTCATATTTTAAAACTTTTTTTATGATGTTTTCTAATGGGACAGAGGTAGTATAATATTTCTTTTCGCGTTGATTTGGTATATTCTCAACAATAATTGACTCTTCATCATGTGAACTGTTATTTCTAATGTATCTCTAACTCCAATATGATAATCCATCTATCTTTATTTTTATAGTCTCTGCAAATGGAACGGGGAGAGTAACTTTTACCTTGGTATCAAGTAGCTTATAAACAAGAGCAACTTTTTTTTTTAAACTTGGATAACATTTGGGGAAGTGTTTACCTAGTTTGTACCATGTATACGAAGGGAAATTTATTTTGTGGGATGAATTTTAGCAGAAATGGTTGAGTTCTATGAAGTAGCATTGGAGGTGCATGATAGACATCCATATTGTAATTTTTCTATTTAAAATAAATGGCAATTATTTAATGTACTTAATTAATTCCAAACAAGTCATCATGCTTTACTAAATCACTCTGAGTGTTACGCTTAGGAGAAAAAGTGATTTACTCTTTTTCCTTCTCCGTTGGTGGCGACCACTATTATACTAGAAAAGGAATGAAGGTTGAATATTTTATTTGGAGAGATTGGGCACTAATGAAATGCTCTTACTATAACCATAACAGAATATTCTGAATTTGGATTAAAAACTATATTTCATTAGCATAATGAATTTACAATTGATCATTAAAATGGTCTAAGAAGGTATAGTAAAATACCGGTAGGATAGAACTGTTCAGTTGCTCTGCGATGTTGCCTGGAAGCATTTTCAATTAGTAATTTCCTTTCAATGAACATAAATCTAAGAACATGTTGAATTCACCATGTAGTGTGTGCAATGGCATGCAAACTGCAATTACATTGCAACTGGATCAAGTGACAAAACTGTACGCTTGTGGGATGTCCAAAGTGGCGACTGTGTCAGGATTTTCATTGGTCATAGGAGTATGATCCTGTCATTGGCAATGTCTCCTGATGGTCGATATATGGCATCAGGTGATGAAGATGGAACAGTCATGATGTGGGATCTCTCAAGTGGACGTTGTATTACTCCTTTGGTTGGACACTCCTCCTGTGTATGGTCACTTGCTTTTAGGTAGGGAAGGACTTTCAGTTATAGAACTAAACCTTTTCTCCGTGTACTTTCAGAGGTGCACTCAAGTATGAAGTTCATGAAAGATGGTTGATATTTCAAGCTTATTTGTCCTATTTCAGTGGTGAAGGTTCACTTCTTGCATCTGGCTCTGCTGATTGCACTGTGAAATTATGGGATGTAACCACAAGCACAAAAGCGCCACTGAAAGAAGAGAAGTAAGTTTGACTTAAGCAAACATATACTCTGGCATTTACTTTCTTTTAGATTGCTAATACCAAGTGCTCTCTCTCAAACAGCAAACCTGGAATTAACAATAGGCTTCGATCATTGAAGACCCTGCCGACAAAAGCTACTCCAGTCTATGCTCTGCGCGTAAGAGTTATCATGATTCTTTCTTTCTATGGTTTTATTATGGGATCCTCTAAAAGTTGCTTGTTATACTCTGAGAGCAGTTTTCTCGAAGAAATCTTCTATTTGCTGCTGGAGCTTTCTCGAAGGGTGCATGAATCCCTTGCTATAAAGTTTCTTGATGTGAGATCACATCATTGTGGCCTTGCAAAATTTGGTATGTCATCTCAATGGCAAGCCATCCTTCTCACACCTCAGTTCTAATAAACTTATGTTAGAGGAGCAACTCATATTGGTGATACCTGTATCTCACTTACAATCTTGTGTCGCTTGGTGTATTTTAAGCATGCGGTGGGGAGTTAAAAAATTTTCTGTTTCTATGGTGGATAAACATTAGATATGTAAATGCAAGACATCTTTTATTTGTTGTGGTGGATAAACATAAGTAAACTCTAATCTAGTATATTGTTCTTAAAATGCTAATGGTCCTTTTCTATTGTAATTTCAGAGATGGAGTCATGGCTAGTCAGGTCGTGCAATTGCCGATAATCATAGTTACTATCTGCTAGAGCTCTCTTTGTGGTGTGACTGCTCAAGCATTTGTAGTCTAGTGTATTTTCACCATGGTAGTTTACAGACCCTTTCCTAGTTTCTACTTTTGTGGATTATATGTAATATTTTGCTGAACTAGAAAGTGTTTAGCACATTATAGCTTGTGAACACTTGCTTCGAAATTTTCTGTATTTAGGGGTTTTAATGAATTTTACTGATTGCTTCTACTATTTGAATGAAGCAACTACAACTGCCAGTTTTCAGAGACTTGATCTTTTTCGGTTTAAGAGCACATTTCTCTCTACATGGGTCAAGGGATATTGAATTTTATTTGCAAAGATAGTAGTTTGTTAATTTTAACAAGCGATTACAAACATAGCCACCATAAGAAGCTGGCTTTATATTTTTAGGAAAACCAAAAATAAAACAGAAAATGAAGGGAGATTAGACCAAATACATAGACAGCCCCTTATAACAAACTAGTTGGCATTATTTTCATTTTGACACTTTTAGGCTCTTATCCATTTTCCTTGGCGACTGTCATATGAAAAGGTATTAACATTTGATAGAAAATAGATATAAAGGAGTTGATTAACAGGAATTATTAGTGGTGATTCTGGACAACATCTTATCGCATGTTTCTTCTAGTAGTATGGAACTACATAGGACACAATCTTAGAGGAATTTCTTTTTTGATCAACTTAGCTGCAAATATACATTGGGCATAAAAGGTAGCAGTACCAATTCAGAAGAACTTGAGAAGAAACCAAGTAGAGGAACTCGGAGATAATTGTATCTCCAACACCTATTTTTATAGAAATTGATAAGTCTTTTAGCAACAGATCCTTCACTTTCGTACTTTGACCGACCCTCTATAGCACTTGGTAAAAGGGGATAGTTTCCAGATGCTACTCATGCAAATATTACAACTCCCAGTAAATTTACCTTCACGTGCTCAACTTGATTAACTTAATCTGCAAAACATTCAACATATTTTGTAGCTTTGAGCGTGCAAGACATACGTGCAGTAAGGAAGTGTGAGTAGACTTAAACCAATATATCTACTCTTTAGACTGGCAAAGATGTTCATTCTGGCAAATAGTACAGACGTGTTATGAGAATTGACTCCCCTCAAGCTGTAACTAACCAATTACAGCTACCAATATGCTTTACTGACAGACTACGCAGAAAACTAGTACCAACATAACTAAGAACCTAAGACACATTTGCAAGCTGTGACTCCAGATTGTGCCAGAGAGCAAATAGCATACAAGGCATACTTAGGCTCTATAGCCTCTTCAGTGAGCTGTAACAGGTCCAAGAATATAGCATAGGCACTAACAGAGCAGCTCCACTATTACAGATGTGCATCAAATTATCAGTTCTTTCCTCTCCCACGCTTCTTTCCACTCTTTGCCTCATTTTCTCGATCCTTCGACGCACTAGAGAATTTTCCCTTAGAGCTGCTATCAGGGTCTTCTGCCAAATTAGTTGCTTTTTCCTTCTCGTTCCCACTTCCTTTAACCTTCGACGAGCGAGATTTTAGCTTCTCCATGCCATTGGCACTGGGCTTGCCGCCATTTTGAGGGGTTTTATTTTTGGACTTGACGGCAGCTGTAACTGTTTCTTGCTTGGACTTGTTGCCAGTCGCTGACGGGGTATCTTGCTTGGACTTGGATTTGGGAGTACTACTGCTAACATCTTTAGACCGAGCAGATGGCTTTTCAGTATCATCAACAGATTTGCCACTGCTCTTTTTAGATTGGGCCCTAGATTTACTGCTGGTTGTATCGTCAGTTCTCCTGCCAGATTTTGAGGTGCCATCTTTTAAGTTGTGCTTAAGCTTACCATCATCCTTGGATTTCTGTCCAGATTTTGTTGTCGTGTCTTTTGACTTGCTGCAGAAAGAGATCCATCACTGAAACCGTTAGGCTTCCCAACAACATGTTAATACATCACACAAGCACAAGGTTAAGGAGAGTATACAACCTTTTAGGTGAAGCCTCCAATCTTTCATGCTTCGCTGATGATCAGCATTTCTAGGTTTTTTCTTCTTCTGCCTGGCATAGCGAAACCAGAGTCAAAGAAACACAAAGAATTCTCGTACTGCTAGAATATGAAGAAAAGATCATTTTTATAGAGGATTAACACCAAAAGTTTGTGGTGGAGTGGCAAATACTTACCTATCCTTAGCCATGAGGTAAATACTTCCCATCCTTTGCCATGAGGTCAGAGGTTTGAACCCTAAGTACAGAGTTTCCTTTGGTAGGGAGCGCTTTACGCCCCAAAGTGGGACTTCCTGGCACGAATCCGGGTTAGTCGGGTCCCAAAACGGGTAAAGGATACCAGGTGGTAACATTAAAAAAATATTTTTGTAATATATAGTGATTGAGAAAAAAAAAGCTAATTATCATTTATAATTATTTTTTTTTAAAAAAACAGGCTCTCACCATGTTGCACATTCTCGCTCACCTGACAAGTAGAAGCAGTACAGTGGTAGTGTGGTTAGGTATTAATCTCCCAGGCAAACAACTTGGTAATCACACAGTACTGTAGAAGCTAAATGAATTTAATCTAGAATAAAGCAATTTGTCAAGATAAAACATGACTAACGATAACCGTCATCCTAAGGCGCCCACGAAGGTGTGCTTTTTTGCATGGCTAGCGGCGAGGGGAGTGATCTTGATTGCGGAAAATCTGCGAAAGAGAGGAATTACACTTGTTAGTTGGTGCTACATGTGTAAAAGCTTAGGGGAAGAAGTTGATCATCTTTTGTTGCATTGCCCTGTGTCCTCGGGTTTGCGGAGGGCAATCTTGAATCTTTTTGGTGTTCAATAGGTGATGCCAAGCACTGTAAAGGAAATGTTAAATAGCTGGGCCGGTTTCCATAGAAAAAGAAAGTAAAAGGCATGGAAGTTCGCACCGTTAGCTCTCATGTGGATAGTTCTGGGGGAGAGAAATAGAGAGCTTATGAGGGGATTGAGTCTCCTTTTTCACATCTTAAGAGTAGTCTTTTATCTTTGATCGCTTTTTGGTGCACTCATATAACCCTTACTTGTATAGAAGATTGAGCTTCATTTGTAGAGAATCATGTTCTGATGTAAATTCTCTATTTTTTGGTATACTTCTTGCATACGGGAGTTTTATCCCTTGTGATTAATACAATTTACCTTATAAAAAAAGAGTGAATTCAAATAAAAATAAGCAATCAGAAATGAGTGCCAACAAATGTCAGTAACACAGAAGAGGGACGGTTGGAGAAAGAAGCGCAGTAGTCCCCTTCCCATAAGAGCAAAAAATTTAAATACGCATTCAGCAAGATTAAGGTGACATTTGCATTTGGCTTTTGTTGTTTCCTAACACAAATGTTAGGTTTTGAAACAAACAGCTATTTTAAAGAACAAGCAAAATATGTGTGTGTGTATACAAGCACTTAACAGGTGGCAACAAGTGGTAAGTCTATACTACTTGCTAACCACTATCGACTTTTATAACAAGAATTAGTTGGAAGAATTGCAGCATAAAGACAATTTACATTTGCAAAATAGAACAAGAATAGCACAGAGCATTAGTATGATAGAAACACACAGAATAAGAAAGGATTAAACAACATGAACAATGATTTAAAATGCTTACCTTGTCCTTGCCTGAAGCACGCTGCTTTCTCTTTGCACTTGTCCTGGGTGTTTCCTCTTCATTACTTTCATGTTTAGAAGAGTTATCAAGAGACTCTGGCGAAGGTACTATTTCCTGCACAACAAAATGATAACGCGAGACAGGCATGGAGGGTCATGCCGTCATGGAAAGTCTAACGCAGAAATAAAGTCTAACAGGCTCGCTTGTAAGAACTACACAAACAGGACAAAATCCATATTTGTAAATCCCCGCTCTCATGCTGATGGACTTGGAAGATACAGACAGACTACATTAAAATATATATNGAACAGCTGCTGTATCCTGAACACAGTTCTCAACATATATAAACAGAAAAAAAAAATCAGAAAAATGTTGAAGAAACAGAAGATCATTTAGGCCTGAGGTTGATGAAATATGGAAGTTACATCACCCAGTGAGCTGGGGTTAAAAAAAAGGCTAGTTATAGTTCTGGAGAGAATAAAGCTGTACCCATATACTGATAGATGGACCCTTCCATGTCATTTGACTGATGTGCTAAAAGATCGCCTACACAATAAGGAGAACAAATGATGAGAGATCGCCTACAAGAGAAACGTTTAATCCTATAAAGAATTATTATTCCTAAGACAAAGCGGCTAAGTATAGCAAAGTCAACCTTCACTTCTACAACTTCAACATCAGAACCCTCAACTGAGATCTCAGTTAACAGCTTGCCATGTATCCAATAGATTAGTGATGTTTCATACGGAAAGATCTAGATTCTTGCAAAAGTAAGACAAACCACCACAAGTTTTCGTATGCTTTATCACTCATGTAGTAAATAAATATTGCAATAAGTGAATCTCTTCATGAACTAATTTCTAGAATTCCTTCTCGAACAACACTAGAAGGAATTCACTGGTTTTTTTTTGTTGTTGTTTTTGTCTACTCGAACAACAGATTTTACTGAGCTGAATCTCTACTTCTGTCCCCAGACCTGTAGCACTGACACCTAAACTGGAGTTCGTATCTCGTTACAGTTACAGCTAGTTAAGGACAGAGAGGATGTGTGAATCCTTCCTTCCTGCATATCTGGTTTCAATTTCAGCTAGTTAAGGACAAGAGCAGAACTTTGGGATCACTGTGACAGCAAGTTAAGTATCAGCATTGGACTGTCAAACATTACTGTACTAATTAAGCACTTTATTAACTTTGATTGTTACATTTGCTGGTATAATTCTTCACCATCTTGAAGCTAACTTAAGGCTCAAGAATAGCTAAAAAATACAGCAGGGAGAAATGTGCAAGCCCAGTAGCTGGAAATGGCTTCTCATTCCTGCTAGTTTGGAGGAGAAGGCAATACCTTAGGTCAAGCAAAGAAAACATTAAACGGTGTAGAGGGGAAAAAGAAAAGAAAAAAGAAGAAGCAGCAAAACAATTACCGCAAATATAGAAAGGATTAAGTTGCAGAAGTGGGGCAGAAAGCAATAGAAGAAGGGGAGAAGGAAAAGTGGTGCACCAGTGGAAATACCATTCAGTTTTCATAGAAACCCACCTTTCACAATGGATCAAGACAACACAATCAAGCAAACCCACCTTTCACAATGGATCAAGACAACACAATCAAGCAAAACATAGTGTCATTCATAATTTGCTCAAGAGGCTGGATACAAAGCAAGACTTACAAGTAGTACGACATAGTTGAATGATCACCTGAAGGCCAATGATAATAAGCTGGAAATTATTACTCACTTGGCAAAATGACTGAGTAGACTCATTGAAATTTATTGGACTTCAGACTAGCTTTTCTTATCAATTGGAAAAATTCGATGAAAATAGATTGCTCTAGGAGAGTTTTTCCTGTACCCAAAATTGAACTGCTCCGTTCTTAGTTACAGTTCTTGCTTAATGAGGAGTTCCTTCTTTGATCATGGATAAGGAATTAAAGACACACTTAGACCACATGAGCTTCTGATAGACACCTAGACTAAAAATAAGCTAACAGTTTACTAGAATTAAAACAGACAAATAAATTTACAAAATTAGAATAGACACAAATTAACTTAAACACAGCTCCTGAGGCACGGAGACGTTTTGCTGATCGTCGTGAACCCATAACCTCACTTTAGACCTCCAACAGCTACTCTCTACCCAGCTACTAGCTTCTGCATCACGTGGGGATGTAGAAATATCAGATTACACCTTAAAAACAGTAAGAAGGCCTAGAATATGAGAACCCAATTTGTGCTTGCACATTCTACTTTCTATTAAAACAATATCTGACCAATAATCAGAAAAATGTGCAGAAGAACAACTACTACTATGTCTAAGTCCAAGCAAGATGGGGAATCAAAAGAATGTGTCACGTGTCTAAAGAAAACTTTTAAACCTGTATCATTACTAGTATGACCACGATATAATATGCCAGAAAGTCCACTATAGGATCAAAGAAATACATGAAGATCTGATACTACCTTGACAAAAAACTAATTGTTCAGACAAGCTTCTTTCCTTCTTTTTCCTTCTTACATTTCTGTTTAAAGCAAAAGAAATACATAGAAGGGATAATTGTGCTTTTATTATGGCAAATTCTAGTTTTGATTTCTGGCATACTTGACACTAGAAACATTTAGATCCTTTTATTAATAATACAGTCAGCTATTGGTCCCCTCCATTACCAAATTTCTGCAAATGCAAAAGATATTATCATAAAACAAAAGGTACTAAAAATTCTCCAAGGCATAAAATGAGTAATCTCATGATATAATAATTAAAAACACAGAATCTTGAAACATTTATCTGTAGTAGGACTAATAATTGAGGGACCAAAACAGCAACCTTGCACCACAGGAACTTTTAGATACTATACATAAATTTAAACTTAAAATTTTTTTGGGAACAAATTCAAAATCTAGAACAGTAAGAAAAAGTTAAGAAAAGAATGATTGTACATCCTACCTCCTTGTACTTCTGCTGAATGAAATGAACAAGTTGGGGTTAGCCAAAGCTACCCAACCAACACTTGGTAGCTTTGACCCCAAAAAAAAAGAAGGAGAAAGATTGTACAGAGGAAAGTGAATTGTGCAAAGCTCTAACTCTATTGAACCCTAATAACTCCATCACACACCCAAGTTAATAGCAGAGATTAGACCGTCAGATACTGAAGCAGCCAGCAGAGATTGAATTGAATTGCAATGGCTCTGCTGCAACGCCTTAATATTTGGTAGAAGCGTTATGTGAATGTATGTAATTTGTTAGAATAGTTATGTAATTTGTCCTAGTCTCTTGTGTAATACAAGTAGCTTATGTGTTATGTATACATATAAATAGGGCATATGGTAACATAGAATATTAATTAATAATATTTTTATCCATGCTTTCTCACATGGTATCTATCACGATCCGGAATTCTCACCCTCGGAAGTCGTGATGGCGCATACTCGTAGAAGTTAAGCAAGCCATGAACTTAGAAACCACTAATTCATTCGTTTTTATACATGTTTCACCAGTTAAATTAATGACAACGGAAAATAAAATTTAGCGAAAGTCTTAAATAAATATGAAACCCAAATATCTAAAAACCAATACATATCTCTACCCAGAACCTGGTGTCACATCATCCACGGACTACTAAGAATACTACATACATCAATTTGAAAGAAAGATAACACTGTTTGTCTCGAATACATGAGATAACAGAATATAAAATAGGATAGAGTAGACGCCGGGCCTGCGGACGCCTGCAAGGCTACCTTGATGTCTAGGTGGACTGAAGGCTGGCTCTCGAGCTAATGTTGCTGCTCAAACGCTGCTCTGGTATCTGCACATAAGTGCAGAGTGTAGCATCAACACAACCGACCCCATGTGTTGGTAAGTGTCTGGCCTAACTCCGATGAGGTAGTGACGAGGCTAGGACCAGACTCTAGATAAACCTGTGCAGTTATATAATATATAGCGGAAAAAGTAAACAGGTAATAAGCAATCAAAGCTAGGGAAGGGGAACATGCTTCGGGGGTAGCAGATAAAACAGAATATCAAAGAATAATAAGGAAAGTACAATTTAACTTCTAACACGGATAAAAAGAAATAAGGCAACTTTCACTTTCAGTTTCATCTTGTTGCAGACGTGCAACCCGATCTCATTTCTCATATCTTGTGGTAGGCGTACCACCCGCTCCCATTTCATTATATTTTGTGGTAGGCGTACCACCCACTCCCATTTCATTATATCTCGTGGTAGGCGTACCACTCGCTCCCATTTCATTATATCTCGTGGTAGGTGTACCACCCGCTCCCATTTCATCGATCTTGTGGTAGGCGTACCACCCGCTCCCATTTCTTCATATCTTGTGGTAGGCATACTACCCACTCCCATTTCATTATATCTTATGGTAGGCGTACCACCCGCTCCCATTTACAAGTCATCACAAAATTTTAAGAAATTCCGGCAAGGGAACAAAAATAATATAATAACTTCCTGGCAAGGGAACAACAATATCGAAACAGTCATACCGGCAAGGGAGAATCAGCTATAACCAAATCCTAACTCATTTTGTACTCAGCTCAATTAATGACAATACTCAATCATAACTAAGATCTACGAATATAAAATCAATCTTTACTCAATATAGGAGATCATTAATTAAAGCATCCGAAGTGCCATCTAAGAGCATGACAACGTTCAAATTTAAAACTCACGGTCATGCTCGACAGCAACGTATATATACTCGTCACCATGCCTATACGTCACACTCAACAAGAAGCAAGTAGCAAATAGGACTCAACTCCTAATCCCTCAAGTTGAGGTTAGACCGAACACTTACCTCGAACTTTCACGACCAACTCAAGCCTCGAACACTGCTTTTCCTCTCAAATTCGGCTCCAACCCAATCGAATCTATACATAATTGACTCAATATCATCAATAAGTGCTAAACAATCCAATTCCAATGTTCAATTATAACTTTCCAATCATTCTTCCCAAAATCCCAAAAATCGACTTCGGGCCTGCTTGGTCAAAACACGAGGTTCGGACCAAAACCCGATCACCCATTCGCCCGAATATATAATTTGTTTTCAAATCTGACCCCAAAACGAGGTCTAAATCACAAATAATCAAAAAGCCCTAACTCTACCAAAATCCCTAATTTCTACCCTTAATTACATGTTTTAGGCCTAAAAATTTAGTGGGTGTTGATGGAAAATGAAAAAAACAAGTTAAAGATTACTTACCCCAAGAGATTATGGTGAAGAGAAGTTTCGCCTAAGAGCTTTGGAGAAGAAGATGTTTGTGAAATTTTTATAAAATCCCAAAAGTGTTCTGTTTTTGGCCTTTTTAAAATCACTAGGCGAAAATGCCCTTCGCGTTCGCGATGGTCAGGCTGGGTGAGCCTTCGCGTTCGCGTACACGGGCTCACGTTCGCGGAGAGTAATCTCCTCGAGCCCTCGCGTTCGCGTTCGCGTAAGACAACTACCCCACCCCCTGCCCAGTCCCATTTGGCCTTCGTGTTCGCTTGGGCAGGACCGCGTTCGCGAAAGATTATCCCCCCCAAAGCCTCGCGTTCGCGACCTGAGCTACGCGTTCGCGTAAAAGGAAATTCCTTCAGCAACAATTAACCCATCGCGTTCACGTGGGTACTCCCGCAAACGCGAAGAAACAGGTACCAGAAACCCAACAGCTCAGAAACCTGCAACATTTTCTTAGTCCGAAACCCTTCGAAACACATCCGAATCACACCCTAGCCCTCAAGGCTCCTAACCAAACACACGTGCTATCTCAACAACTTCATATGAACTTATTCGTGCGATCAAATCGCCAAAATAACCTCAAAAACAATGAATCAAACCTCAAAATCAAAGGATTTTTCTCAAACTTCATTAAACATCAACTTTAGCAATTTAGGTCCGAATCACGTCAAACGGATTCCGTTTTCAACCTAATTTTACAGAAATGACTTAAACCATATATAAGTCCTGTACCAGACGCCGGAACTAAAATACGGGCCCGATACCATCGCTTTCTAATCAGATTTCATTTCAAAATTCCTTAAACATCTTCAAAAAACAATTTTACTTAAAAATTAATTTCTCGTGCTTGGGACCTCAGAATTTGATTCCGGGCATACACCCAAGTCCCATATTTTCCTACGGACCCTCCGGGACCATCAAATCACGGGTATGGGTCCGTTTATCCAAAATGTTGACCAAAGTATTCATTTTAAACTCAAATTTCATTATTTTCACAAAATTTCATATTTAAGCTTTCTGGCTATGCACCTGGAATGCACACGCAAATCGAAGCAACTCTAAATGAGGTTTTCAAAGTCTCAGAAGCACAGAATGCAATTAAAAATAGGCAATAACCCTTTGGGTCGTCACATTCTCCACCTCTAAAACAACCGTTCATCCTCGAACGGATAGAAAAAAGAAGTACCTGAGTCGGGGAAAAGATGAGGATAATGGCTCCGCATATCATACTCGGAATCCCAGGTCGATGCCTCAGGAGGCTGAACACGAATAGAAGGAAAACTCTTCGACCTCAACTGACAAACCTGTCGGTCTAGAATAACCACCGGCTTCTCCTAATAAGACAAGTCCTTGTCCAACTGGATAGTGCTGAAATCTAACACGTGGGATGGATTGCCGTGATACTTCCGAAGCATGGACACATGAAACACTGGATGCACGACTGATAAGCTCGGCGGCAATGCAAGTCTATAAGCTACCTCTCCCACTCGATCAAGAATCTCAAACGGGCCAATGAACCTAGGGCTAAGCTTGCCCTTCTTCCCAAATATCATCATGCCCTTCACAGGCGACACTCGGAGCAATACTCGCTCACCAACCATGAAAGCCACATCTTGAACATTGCGGTCTGCATAACTCTTTTGCCTAGACTGAGCTGTACGAAGCCTATCCTGAATGATCCTAACCTTGTCC